GAAACAGATTACTTCTTCAACAATCTGATCATATTGGAACAGTTCCTCGCCTGACTCTTTAACCAACTTCCTAATAGCCCTCTTTGAGTTGTGAATCTTGACTACCTGATGAAAGAAGTGAGAACTTTGATCCCCAACCGATAACCAAGACACCCTGAATTTTTGCCAGCCAAAGCTTTCATATGCCCTAGATATACAATCATGATTTCACTAATATAATATTAATATAGTAATAATATTAAATAACATAAATATAAAAAAAATATTTAACTGACATCGTACAATTTAATATAAGCGGATATCACTGACATTATTTACTTAATAATATAAAATTATTTGACACAAATTTTTTACAATATTTATACATCCTACTTTAAAATAAATAATTTAAATTATTTTAAGCAACCTATATAATAAAATATAATTTATCATACTCCGACCAATTGAGCTAATTCTTAAAACATATTTTACCCTGCACCCGATCTTAAACCCATTAGAGTATCCACATCAATGCAATTGTAAAAGCAATTGCATTTGTGCTCTTTATTGCCAACTCAATTTTTTTGCAATCAACCTCAAATCACTTTCATTCACTTACATCAATGTAATTAACTTGCAATTGCATATGTAATCAAATATTATGTTTAAAATATAGAAAATAAAGTAAAAGAGAACAGAAAATAATATAAAATAAAAAAATTCCCATTGTTTTGGTTCTTTTTGACTTGCGTATGCAATTGCATTTGTTACAATCTTGCAAATATGCAATTGGTAGTCCCACCAATGCAATTGGTTTTGCAATTGCAAACACTCATCTCATGTGATCTTGCAATTGAGAATGCAATGCCAATGTAGATGCTCTTTACACAACATTTTTTTTTGTTTTTTGACTGGGTTGGCTCCATGTTATCACTATTTGATGTTAAAAGCATCCACATCAATGCAATTGCAATTGTTCTTTTTATTGCCAACTCAATTTGTTTGCAATCCACCTCAAATCAGTTTCATTCACCTACATCAATTCAATTAACTTGCAATTGCATATATAATTAAATATCATGTTTAAATTATAGAAAATAAAGTGAAAGAGAAAATAAAAAAAATCATATTTTTAGGTCTTTTTGATTTGCATATGCAATTGCATTTGTTGCAAACTTGTAAATATGCAATTAGTAGTCACATCAATGCAATTGCAAACATCCATGACATGTTATCTTGCAATTGAGAATGCAATACCAACGTGAATCCTATAGAGTTTTTTCCAATAATAGCACCTTTAAAAAAAATTACAAAACTAGCACACATATGAAAAAATTTACAGAAATAGCACCTTTAATAAGTAAACCGCACCTGAAAGGTGCGTTTTACTCATAAAACGCATCATAGGGGTGCGTTCCAATTAAGAAAACGCACTTGGGGGGTGCGATTCAGTGCTGCTGCGGAACGGTCTTCAAGACCGTCGGATAGAGATGCGATCGGACGGTGGAACGCTTGCCAGCGAAGCGATCCGCGCCAAGGAAGGCAGAACGCACGCCCGAGATGCGGTCAACCCTAGGGAAGCGCAAAACGCATCGGGAGGGTTCGGTTTCCCTAAGGGAAAAATTACCGGACCGCCCCTGGGGGGTGCGGTCTGATGGGTATAAATACCCCCCCCCCCCCCCCCCCCCCCCCCCCCCCGCCTTCCCCTCTCAGTCTGATGGGTATAAATACCCCCCCTTCCCCTCTCATTTCTTCACAACACAACCCATTCTTCCTCTCTCTCTACAATTTATCTCTCTAAACCCTCCCCTCCCAAAAGCCTAGGAAATAGTGGTCTGTTGGTAGCGGCTAAGTCCGATCTGCCATCAGAAAACATTTCTTAGGTTTTTTCCTCAAAACCCGCCGAGCCGAGCCGAAGCTCTGTCCGAATTACGCCGAAAAATGGCCGATTGGTGGCAAGGAGAAGGAGTTTATGTTGATGAATTTCAAGCGGTATGTACTCATTATTCTGGTTTAATTTTTGTTGTTGTTATAAGTTAATCATATAACCATAACGACTTGCAATCACCAAAGACGGCGGCCAGAGCTTTCTGCTTTCCATGCCACGCCTTCTTATAGTTAATCATATAACCATAACGACTTGCAATGTCAGCGATTATGGCTTTCACCTTCAGATCCGGTTCGGCCTCAATCAGATGCTTGATAGCCGTAGCAACCACCCTGGATTTCAACTGTCGATGGCCTTGGGAAGTTATGGATGACACACATGTGTGTGTGTTCACCGCACGGGATATGACCCAGTGGCCGTGTCTCTTGCTGTTGATGGCCCGAATCCTAAAATTGCACCCCTCGTGATGATTACGGCATCTGACTATGAGCCTTTTGGTGTTGGAATGAGTTGTGTGTCATTCAAAATGCCAAGTCATTGCTTCAGTCTCAAGGGCGTGCTACACCTCCTTCTTCGAGCCAAATTGTTGGCCCTTCGTAAACCCAGTGAGTGGGCCCCATATTGGGACCTCTGGCGGCTCCATGTCGCTATCGATCATCCAATTTTCGTCTGGAATGTGATTGTAGTAGGGGACTGGTACACGGTCAGGAGTCACATCATGATCATTATCTGAATCTGAATCTGGTCCTGAATCATCAGCACCTTCAAGAGGGTCTGAGCTGTCTGCACTGACGTTGTTCTCTCCTTCTTCATCGGAGGGGTCGCTGACTGGTGCTGGTATGGCAGCTTCCATCTGATCCAGCTCATGAAAGGCACCTTCATCAGCTCCATAATGGTAGTTGTGAAAACTACCGCTGCCTGATTGGAAGTTGTACTGGGCTTGGTTGGGGAGGTCCGGTTGAACTTCTTCTTCATATGACGAGAAAGATTGATGATGGCCTCCACCTTGCTCTTGCTCTTGGTACTGAAAATAGGAATGAGGATCATGGTAACTTTGGTAGGGATGATCGCCATAGAATTCACCTCCACCATGGATACCAGATGTTTGACCGTGTGCAGAATGACCTCCAACACCAACGGCTGGCTCGGTGTAAACGAACATCTCGGCTTTGGCCAATTTGTTGGACCTCAAGAATCCGACCATGGAATCTACTTCATCTTGAGTGGTTATGGTATATTCCTCATGCCACAATGACCCACTCTCTCTGTTTGGATATCGGTACACCATACGATCTACTTTTCTCGTGCCATCCATGCAAGTAACGTTAGTGCATATTTGATGGAGGTCTTCAAGCTTCGGTCTGGTACTGACCGTTATTTTCTGAAAATTGCCACCGACGTAGGTGGCCCCCTTTCCGGTCTCTTCCGTGTAACCATTCCACCGTAAGCCAAGCGTGAACTGACGGAATGCCATCTGCACACAAAAAACCGTAGTTCAGTTAATATCATAAAAATCACAAATCACAAATAACAATAAAAAGTAACACAAAATAAACTTACAAGTTAATGTTAATGGCAAAAACACTAAATAAATATAGAGATACAACAGAAAAATGAAAAGAGAGAAGGAGAGGTGTGAAGAGTAGAGGTTTTCCGGGCAGTCTTATATAGGGAAAAAAATGAGGAAAACCGCACCTCTAGGGTGCGATTTTAGTCTTCCATGCAGCCCTACGTCCATAATTCTCTGCATGGGTGTGTCGGGTGTCGGAAAATTATTGACACACAGACCGCACTTGGGGGGTGCGGTCTGTGTGGCTAAACCGCACCTTAGAGATGCGGTTTGGTTTTGGAGGATCAAAACGCATCTCTAAGGTGCGGTTTGCCTAGGTCAGGCGTAAACCGCACATCGGCCATGCGTTTTATGTAGGCCAGACCTGAAAACGCATGGCTAAAATGCGTTTTAGCCCCACCAATATGAAACGCACCGTCCAGGTGCGGTTTATATATAAAACGCACTACAAGGGTGCAGTCCATAAAAAATGGTGCTAGTTTTATAAATATTTTTGGAAGGGTGCTAGTTTTGTAATTTTTTTTAAAGGTGCCATTTCTGGAAAAAACTCAATCCTATACATTGTCGGGGTTGTGCAAAGCAAAAAATAGTAATACTAAGTAAAAAACAGAAAACCTTAACCCCCACGACTCCTCCCCCACTATTTCCACCCACTTCCTCCGCTACGTCCTCTTCCTCCCTCTATATGTACCCACACCATGTAAACATTGCAGTTATCATCATCACTTGCCAAAACCCACGCTTTCTCCCTCTCGAAGCATCACTGTGCCGTTCTTCTTCCTTGCACTCTGCTTGCTGATCATTCATTCTACACAATGGAAACGTCCAAGTCGCTGGTGCTACTCACTCTCCTCTGCTGTTACGTCATCACGGCCAGCTCCGCCAAGCTGTTCGTCGGCGGGAAGGAAGGGTGGACGGTTCCCAAGTCTAAAGACGAGCAGCACCACTTCTTCAACGACTGGGCCGCCACCAACCGCTTTCGCGTCAACGACACCCTCCGTAACTTTTCCTCCCTACCTCCAACTCTCTTGTTACTCTTGTTTTTCTTGGTACTCTTCCATTTTGCTAAACTCTCTGTTTCCTGCTTTGGGGCGAAAACAGGGTTCAAGTACAAGAAAGACTCGGTGATGGTGGTGAAAGACGAGGAAGAGTACAACAAGTGCAGGTCATCTCACCCGCTCTTCTTCTCCAACAATGGCGACACTTCCTTCCGCCTGGACCGCCCCAGTCTGTTCTACTTCATCAGTGGCGTCACCGGACACTGCCACCATGGCCTCAAGATGATCATCAAAGTCCTCGACGACAACTCGCCTCCTCTTCCACCTTCCCTGCCCGCTGACGATCCTCCCAACCACAAATCATCCGCCACTTCACACTACTCTGCCTCCGTCGCTGCTGCTGCTGCTCTGCCTCTGCTGGCTCTGCCACTCTTCTTTTAGCAAAGGATAGATAGGAAAGATTTGACTATTGTAGTTTTAGTTTTCTTTTTCCTGTTTTGGTTTTAAGATTGTAGCACGGAGAAACAATGGCATTCGTAATTCGACTAGTTACTTTCATTATTACAGTTACTCTTGTCTTCTTCGGCGTGTCATATATTCATCGTCAATGGTTTAGAGAAAAGAAAGACCGAAAAAAATTTAAATTAATGGACGCTGAAACAATGTCGTTTAACAGTTACCAGGATTCGGCAGCTTCATGAGTTGCATAGAACTTCTGCTGCGGAGGGAAAAGAGTATCTCAAACTGGAAGGAAAGATGGAAATTTGGCTATAAACTTGTTTAAATATCAAAATCTGCTGCAAAACTTTGGAGGGGAAGCTTCTTGGCCTCTCCCAGCACCTAGTATCTTATGTGTCATGAACCAGTTGATCCCAATAACTCGAGTTGTTGGGAGAGGTTCAATCGTGGATCATATACCACAACACTAACACGCCCCCTAAAACGAAAGCCACTTACAAGGGCTTGAAGTTTGCACAGGTTTGAAGACAAGAATACCATGTGCTTAACAAATGGGGGTCACCGGGAATCGAACACAAGACCTCTCGGTCACAGAAGGCTCTGATACCATGTCATGAACCAGTTGATCCCAATAACTCGAGTTGTTGGGAGAGGTTCAATCGTGGATCATATACCACAACACTAACATTATGAACTTCTGCTTATCATGGCTTGATCGTCCATAAGGATTTCTGTAGCTGAAGCTACCTTTCTTCTTCTTGTTGCTGTTGGTCTTTCTAAACTTGGAGGCACTGCTGTCGATGTTCAGGTTCACCTTTGGTGGCCCAGAGAAGCCAAATGACTTTGCAACCGCCTGCTCGGAAGAAGAAGAAATCGAGACGTAAAGACACAAATTATTATCACTCTGAAGCATGTCACTTATATCATGTTTCCATACAGCTCATTATGTGAATAGATAGATACCTGTATGTCGAGGCGGTGGACATTGAAGACATCTTTCATGGAGTGTGAGTTGTATGCCAAGATGTAAGATCGGTAAGCTTCCTTTGCCGACATGTTCAAGAAATGGTTCCCAGCCACCCATTTCTCCTGCAACAACCCACAAGCAGAGTCAGTAGGAACTCTTTCCCATAAGTTTGCATCTTTTCATCAAATTTAGCCAACGATGGTAAAATGGGTGAAAGTGACTTACCAGGCAAGTCTGAACTTTTTCTAGCTTCTTTTTTTTATTGAATGTGTACTCATTCAGGGGACTTTTGCTGCCTGAAAGGGAACAGTTATGAGGGCATATAGCAAGAGCAAGTAAAATATGCAGTAAAAGATCCAACAGAAGGCAATCATACCTTCAGATACTCCAGAAATCGAAGTTCTTCCGTAGTCAGGAATATTAAGGCATTTCCTTTTGCACCTTCTCCACGTGCTGTTCGGCCAACCCTATGTATGTATTGCTAAAAACCAGAAATTCACTCTAAATGTCAATGTCTGTAAACGTAGATCAGCAACTCAATTACCCGATTTGAAGTGTAGAATGCAAGGAGGATAAATAGGCACCTTGGGCTCATCAGGTGGGTCATACTGCACAATCCAATCCTGCACAGCAAATAGAAAGAGGAAAATCAGTTAGGTGTAGAGGTGGCAATTCTCAATCCAATCCACCAATCCAATCCTTCAATCCATTAAAAATATCCACCTAATCCAATCCATTTAAATCCAATCCATTTGATCCAAATCCAATTGGATTGGTGGATTTATGGATCAATCCATGGATCCAAATGGCAAATTACGGTTTGGTATCTATAATTTTTATATTTTACATTTTGGTACCCAAAATTTAATTTTTTATACAAAAAATATCATTGGAAAATTACGTTTTGGTACCTAAATTTTTTCATTAGGACATTTTAGTACCTAAACTTTTCACATTTTACATATTGGTCCTTGGTTGAGGATGTCATTTGGATTCATGGATAATCCACCAATCCACTTAATCCAATCCATGAATCCACCAATCCTTTAGATCCAATCCATTTGATCCATGGATCAACCAATCCAATCCACCAACCCATGGATCCAATCCATTTGCCACCTCTAGTTAGGTGAGTTAGCCAAAAGGAAAAAGTATCAGCTGTATCTTAAAAACAAGGAAAAGGCGCATACCACAGCAGGTATATCAAGTCCACGAGCAGCAACATCAGTGCATAGCAAGATCCCTTTCTCAGCTTTGCAGAAACTAAAGAAGGTCGAGGTTCGCTTCTCTTGCTTTTGTTTTCCATGGATATCGAAGCATTTTGTTTTACAGCGCCCCAGAAGTTCCGAGTGAAACTTCACAGAATTGCATGACGAGAAGAAAACCATCACTTTCTTTGATGATAAGGTACTCCGCAAGAAGGAGTAAAGAACAAGAAATCTCTCGGAACTTTGAACTAAAGTGTAGCCTTGCCGAAGACCTTCATTTGTAACCTACAATTGTCGGCGATTTGATGAGGACAGAGTTGTGCTATATATATTCTGCTTGTTCAAGGAATCAAACCATGGATCATACCTTGTGTCTCCCATCATCGACATCAATATAAACAGGAGTCGTCTGAAACAACAACCGAGCAAGGTCCTCCACCTGTAAGCCAAACCAGCACAAGTAGCGAAAACTGAATGCTTGATCTTGCCCAAAGAATCCATGCTAAAGGAAGGAAAAGTACTGGCATAGAAAATGTGCAAAAGGGAGTAAAAACCATTAAGCAGCTGCAAACAGACCTTTTTAGTTTGGGTGGCTGAAAATAAGGCAGTCTTCCTGGTCTGCAGATCACAGAGCAATTTGTCAGAGAACTAAAATACAGCACTGCGATGTGCAAAATGAACAAAAGGGAGAACCCAAGCATATGTATGGTTCAGTTTATTCTAAAATAAGGAATCTGGACAATCACAAATCAATTGAAGACTGGTAATAGCATTCAAGAAACAGCAGATGCACGACATTAGTTCAATCCCTGGTATTTTATTTAATCAATTGCCTTGTACACCTTCACCTAAAAAATGTTCATTTTCAACAGTTATAAATTAATTAATTGTACACTTATGATATAATGATTGCAGAAGCTTGGTATACCTTTGGTAAAAGCTTGATAATTTGTTTCATATCTTCCTCAAAGTTGGCCTCCAATATCCTGTCTGCCTCATCAATCGTCAGGCACTACAGAATTCCCCTCAAGGGTCAGCAAAAAACTTTCCATCCCCAATTCTCTGCTTTTAAAATTTCCCTCAAGGACAAGCAGCACAAGGATAGCACAAACACATGCTTAAATGGATAGGACACACTAGTACAGCTATGAAACCCCTAATGCTTCCAGAAGATGATTTGAACCACAGTCCACGATAATATAAAAAAAAAAAATGAAATAATGCAACAAGTTACCTTCAAGTTCTTATAAATAAATCCTTTGGTATGTTGAAGATGATCCAGAAGTCGACCAGGAGTTGCAACCAACAAGTTTACCCCTTTGACAATTCGCTCCGCTTCTTCTTTCCTTGCTGCCCCACCAATAACCAGCCCAAGTGTCTGTGAATGATACTTGAGAAGGTCTTCTGCCACTTTATGTGTCTGAACAATTAATACGCCCCTGGGGGTGTATGTTTATCAAAGTAACGCAGCAAACGACTCAATCGAAGAATCGATTGAGCTCGAATCAAGAACGAAGCGTTCTTAATACGAACTTGGGATAAAACGGAACCAAAAGGACAAATCCACACATGGGGATAGCTCGATTGGTATAAAAGGGTAGTTGCTCGACCACGATTGAAGTGACTATTCAATCGATACACAAGCTCAGCAAGTTTGGAATCCACCAAACCCAAAACAAGTCGCAACTTGCAAAAAACCAAACGGTTTCGATTTCTATTCAACAAAGTCTTATGTTTTACAACGTAAATAGAAAGCTTAAATAGGCCTAGCTAGAGTTACACACATCCCATAAACTCCTAATTACAGTCTAATACGAAAAGGAATAAAAAACTACCAAAACAATGAAATCCTAACTAAACAAGAAAAGGAAAATCTGCCTTTAGCTCCAAGTAACCAAACAGCTTTGATGCCCTCTTTGAGCCTCTCGATCAAAGCCTTCCAGGTAAGCTTCCAATCATCCAATGCCATGTATTTGTAGTAGAAAATACCTACTTTCATGTGGTATAAGCCTCTTGATACGAATCTCATCCATAATTCTGCAATGGAGCTCCAAAGTAGGCTTCTTGAACACAGTTTCTGCCTTAACCAAATTCTGGCATTTTTCCAGTTTTGAGGTAGCAACTTTGAGGTCTTGGAAAACAATCTCAATGACATCATATGGATTCACAAAGTATACCGTTTGAAATATGAAAACTTTATCTGCAAAACAAGCCCTTAAAATTGAATTTCCACCAAGCCAATTGAGAGAACCATGCCTCCAAAGTATGTAGCCTGAACACGGATTTTGACTTAGCCAAATTCTGCCCTTCTTCTTCCCAACTTTGTTAACTTCTTTGTCGAGTAATTGTGACGTGTACAGTTGGCTATTTGGGATCATATCAGGCTCCCCCCTCTTCAAAAAGCTTTGCCCTCAAAGCTTGATCCTTCCTCTTGTCAAAATCATCACAGAATTGATCCCAAAGTGGATCGAAAGAGGGCTGCTCAAACATGTTTTTCTGCAGAATTTTGACAGCTTTAACTTCATCATCAATCTGCTCCAGGGACTTTGAAGCTTGCAATGACACTAGGATAGCTTTCTGGGATTGAAATAAACTGACATCGACGAATAATTGCGCCAGCAAACAACTGAGGAGTTGCCCAGAACTTCCTGCCGCAATGACGGACTCGGACGGTTGCTGCAAACTTCGGATTTGTTGATTCAAACCTCCCCACTCCAATTTGCCATTCGAATCTCGTTCATCCAGCTTCCATATGAAGCTTCCAAACATTCCCAGGCCTCGTCCAACCTCACGTAAACAGAGAATGGATGATTTTAGTTTTCCCACCATTCTGGAATTTGCACGTTTCTGCAGAACTTTGCGGTTCTGGAAAATTGGGAAAACACCCACATGCTTCGATTTCCTTCTGATTTGGATGTGCTCTTGGCTGGGAATCCATTCCTTTACCTACTAGGAACTGATCTTTAGTGGTGGTAAGGCTCGATTCATGCTCAGAATCCCCAACATCATACCTGTTTTTGGAGTCAAACTCCACTGTTTGCAGAAGAGCTTCTGCAGAATTTGGTATTTTTAATTGAAGTTGCTTTGCCTCGATTGTTGTTAGAGAATTAATTCCTGGGACTTCAAGAAACTCACCAATAGCGACGAAATCCTTAGACTCATCCTCTAGTTCATTGTAGGTTTCTCCGGAACGCTGACTCTGTTCTTGCGGAGGAAAACAGAGTCGGTTGGCTGCTCCTTCTTTATCCATCGACGAACCACTCGAAGTCTCGCTTGCCTTGTCCCAGCTCGCCGCTAGTTTTCGAATGCACTCGTCTGTGGCTGGATTGAGTTTAATTGGAATGCTTCGTTCGTGATGCCTCTCTGGAATCGGATTCTGCAACACAGACTTTTTCGGTGAGGCTACTTTATCCGTCAGCAACTTCAGCTCATCAATTCGACGTTGGATTCTGTCGAATTTAGGTTGGAAGGTCGCTTGAATTGCTTCGATGACCATCTGTTTCAATTCTTCCATGTTGATTGGCTGTGTGTCCATCGTCTGCTCTTCGAATTGGAATTGCTTCTACGAAAAAAATCTCCTCTTTCTCCTCTGTTTTTTTTTTCTTTTTTCTGCCCACGATCAATTGGAATTACTCTCGAGCTCCTCCTTGCCCCTGCGTTGAACGGGGCTCTGATACCACTTAATACGCCCCTGGGGGGTGTATGTTTATCAAAGTAACGCAGCAAACGACTCAATCGATCGATTGAGCTCGACTCAAGAACGAAGCGTTCTTAATACGAACTTGGGATAAAACGGAACCAAAAGGACAAATCCACACATGGGGATAGCTCGATTGGTATAAAAGGGTAGTTGCTCGACCACGATTGAAGTGACTATTCAATCGATACACAAGCTCAGCAAGTTTGGAATCCACCAAACCCAAAACAAGTCGCAACTTGCAAAAAACCAAACGGTTTCGATTTCTATTCAACAAAGTCTTATGTTTTACAACGTAAATAGAAAGCTTAAATAGGCCTAGCTAGAGTTACACACATCCCATAAACTCCTAATTACAGTCTAATACGAAAAGGAATAAAAAACTACCAAAACAATGAAATCCTAACTAAACAAGAAAAGGAAAATCTGCCTTTAGCTCCAAGTAACCAAACAGCTTTGATGCCATCTTTGAGCCTCTCGATCAAAGCCTTCCAGGTAAGCTTCCAATCATCCAATGCCATGTCTTTGTAGTAGAACATACCTACTTTCATGTGGTATAAGCCTCTTGATACGAATCTCATCCATAATTCTGCAATGGAGCTCCAAAGTAGGCTTCTTGAACACAGTTTCTGCCTTAACCAAATTCTGGCAGTTTTCCAGTTTTGAGGTAGCAACTTTGAGGTCTTGGAAAACAATCTCAATGACATCATATGGATTCACAAAGTATACCGTTTGAAATATGGAAACTTTATCTGCAAAACAAGCCCTTAAAATTGAATTTCCACCAAGCCAATTGAGAGAACCATGCCTCCAAAGTATGTAGCCTGAACACGGATTTTGACTTAGCCAAATTCTGCCCTTTTCTTCCCAACTTTGTTAACTTCTTTGTCGAGTAATTGTGACGTGTACAGTTTGCTATTTGAGATCATATCAACAATGTTGGGTAATAATGAATATAGATCAGGCAAAGGACTAAAATGTCTAGGAAGACACGGAGTTTTCGGGTCATTAAGTTGCAAAAAATACCATTAGCAAATGCATACAAGGGTAACTGGGTAGGTAAAGAAGCAAACTACAGTTACCTGTCCGAATTAACCTTAATAATTATACTATTCCATCATTCAGTTCAAGAAGAAACAAGATCTTGATAGGTATAATGAGAGAGAAATTATGATTTGCAGCAAACATCTACAATATCAGGAGGATCATTTACCTGAATGGCAAGTTCTCTAGTAGGGCAAATAACCACCACCCCAGTACCATTGCGGGGAGCGAAACGAGCATTGTACAGCAACTCCACAGCCGGTATCAGAAAGGCAAGGGTTTTCCGAGAACCTGTCCTTGCCGCACCCAAGACATCCTTGCCCATCAGCAGGAGTGGAATTGCCCTTGATTGAATCTGTTAGGTTGCAATAGATTCCAAATTGTCAGAAACATGTCTCGATACACGTGCCGCGCTATACTATTCTTGTTAACTAAACTCAGCATGCATATTCTCCAGTAAGTTACATAAATTGGAGCAGTGCTGCCATTCTCCGCCAACTTAAAACTATTCGAGAATATAATGGCTGAGCTTCAACCAATGTAATACCACACTATGCAACACCAAGGAAGCTTATACAAAATGGATTTGACTCTTGCTAAACGAATATGCAAAACACACGGCAATTTTTCTAGTGGTTACTGAAAAGAGCACTAAAAATTCGAATTAGAAGAGTATGCACCTGGGTCAAATACTGGAAAGTGGAATCCCATCTCTCGAATCGCCTTCCTCGTAGGCTCGGATAATTCCAGAGAATCAAACGAGTCAGTGCTCATAATTCCGCCGCCACTCCTCACTTTCTTCTCCTTTGTGTTACCCTCTGCCTCGCCATCTTCCCCCTTGCTATGTTCCTCCTTTCGTCCGTCACTCTCATCTTCATTCACATCTGCGATCTGCTGCTTCTTCTTCTTCTTCTTGTCCTTCTCTTCGTCATCTTCGCTCTCCTCTTCGTTCTGCTTCACCTCTGGAGCTTCATCAGACTCTGCCGGAGCTTTCTTTCCTCTACTGCGCTTTCGTTTCTTTCTCTTCTGCAGCTCGTCTTCCGGCGACTCGTGCGGCTGCTTGCTCACTGCTGGCACGGCCATGGCGCCAACTGTGAACCAAGTTTGTGGAAAAGAAATATTGTAAAAAAGGGTTTTTCCGCTTCTCTTTGCAATTCCGCCTTTTAGTCTTTATAGCTCTTAAACCCTTGTCCGGGGTCCACCGCCTTTATAATCACTAATTGGATGGATTGGGCTACACGCTAGTACGCTACTGAAAATTTGATTGATAAGGATCTTGATAGGCTCGTCGGCCGCAGCGAGCTACCTAATTTGACCATACTCTTAGGCCTGCCTTATTTATGGGCCAAGATCAGGTGACTAAGGGGGTCCCCTTAGTCACATGGCCAAGTGAATCTCAGCCACTAAATCTCATTAAAATCCAAGGGCTCCTATTAGTTCAATTTAATGAAGGGTAATGTAGTAATTTCATATTTATTTTTAAATTTTAATTATAAAATAAATAAATAAATAATTTGCTTCGTCCCGTCCGTTTGCGTCGCCTCCCCGCGCCGCCTCCGATGAATTTCCGCCTCCGGTGAATTTCCGGAGAAAGAATGGGCGCCTTTATCCCATTCCCCCTGATTCCCCCTGGCGCCATTATTCCAGAGAGAGAGAGAGAGAGAGAGAGAGAGAGAGGGAGAGAGAGAGAGAGAGATTTTCTGGTCGTCGGAAATTTTTTTCCGGCGAGCATCGTCGCCGGAGAAGAATTTCCCGGCGACAGTGCTAATTTTGTGATGTTTGTTGACATATTTTGTAATGTTTGTATGCTTTGTTATTTTGTAATGTTTGTCGTTTTTTTTGTAATGTTTGTACACTTTGTTATTTTTGTGCACCATGTTTGTAAACTTTGTAATTTTTGTCAACCATGTTTGTAGTGTTTTTTATGTCTAAAAAACAACCGGGTTGACTTTTGGATGGAGCCCCTCTATATAGGGATGGAGCCTCCAAAGTCAACCCGGTTGTTTTTTGTTTTTGTACGGTTTGTATTGTTTGTCAGTCTAGTTTGTATTGTTTGTACAGTTCATACGTTTGTAATGTTTGTATGTTTTGTCGCTCTAGTTTGTACTGTTCGTATGTTTGTATGGTTTGTACTGATTGTAAGTCCGGTTTGTATACTTCGTAATTTTTCATAATACCCAAACTAACCCTGCCATTAATTAAATAGCCCTTCCCACTTTTTAACCATTGGATTGAAGTGTCCAGATCTAATAGCTAGGAGGGGCTTAGTCAAGTGACTAAGCACCCCCCTTAGTCACCGGATCCGCACTCTCAGACTCATTAGTCCATCCAATTCTAACTTGTTTTGGACTTTGGCGGACCTTAATGGACATCTTATTTGAGAGTTGTGTATGTTTAGAGAAAGTAGGAGTTAGCAATTAAATCTTGTTTACATGTTGTGTTACTCATGTTTGGGGGTTGAAAAACTCATTACTATTAATGTGTTTGGCCCAATACTACGGATAGGGGTGGTGTTCAGTCGGTAAACGGTAAATTGTTTACCGAATTTACCGGTTTTGGTATACCGAAGTTGGTCAAATTGGTTACCGATTAATGATACCTGTTTGTACCCGGTTTACCGATCACCGAATTACCGGTAAACGGTTACAAACCGGTATTACCGAAATACCGTGAGAAGCCATTTCAGACGGTTTTTCGGTCGGTTTACCGAATATTTACCGAACCGAATTTCTGGAAGTGGGGTGATGTTGTAATATTTTGATTTTTTTATTTTTTTTTCATCATTTTAGTAATTAATAATTTATTATTAACTCTTATTTACAATATTTTTTAGGCCTATACTTACTTACATTCATGTATGTAATATTTTATATTTGTGAATAATGATGTATATGTTATATGTTAGTGGAGTAGGGAGGGGAGATTTCGGTATCGGTATTACCAATTTACCGTCGGTATTTACCGATACCGTGTCCGGTAAACCGACTCCCTCAACTTCCCGCTAGGCTGCCGATACCGTCGGTAAACGGTAAACCGTTTACCGGATTACCGTTTACCACCCCTAACTACGGAGCCGCTCTAAAAAATTGGCATCGGTGTCGCTTCTTCTGATTGGTCCATAAAAGCTATGACGTGGCATTGGCTGTGTTATTATCAAGCCAAACCCAAATCCAAAACCGTTGAGCATTAGCTGGCCCAAACCCACCCAAATTGACGGAAAAGCTGTCTTCCGTTTCTTATCAACGTTTTTGTCGTTGCTTTTTTTAAAAAAATTAACATTTATTTCCTTTTACTTTGGATTTAATTATTACTTGATTTTTTTCACCATAAACAAGGGAATAGAGACACGAACCCAGAAGCACTTCGTCGTCTTCCCCCTTGTATCGGTTGAAGGTGCAAAAGGAAGATATACAGTATACAGACTACATAGTATCTAACAGACTTACACCATTGATATGGAGCAATAAACCAATTTTCCTATTACAAACACTTGGAGAAGAGTACAGTTCGAATCTAATTCCGCTACCGAAGTGAATCACAACATGAATTACTAACTAATAAGGCTACAAATAGTAACATAGTACCACTACTGAAGTGAATCACAACATGAATTACCAAACAAGGCTTCTTTGTTTAAGCTTGGATTGCTGAATGTTTTCACTAAAGTTGACTACATAGGATAGATACCATTAGCTAAATAATAATATTGATCATAGGTATGACCGTTTACCTCAAATCGTACTCGTGGGGCGGATCCGTTGAGGATACGGTCAAACACCAAAAACATCCCTTGAATATTGATATCGTTGTTCGACCCAGACAGACCAAAGAAAGCATGCCATATCCAGGTGTTGTATGAAGGCACTGCCTCGAGAATGATTGTTGGCTTAAGATTGTGCCCCAAGTACTGCCCAGTCCAAGAAGTAGGACAGTTACTCCACTCCCAGTGCATGCAATCAATTGATCCAATCATACCAGGAAATCCGCGTTGTGAGGCTCTATGAAGTAGAATCCTTAGATCAGTAGGAGTTGGTGCACGAAGGTATGCCGATGAGTACATCCCAACAATGGCCTTGCAAAAATTCCGGATGACTTCCAGTATAGTGCTCTGACCCATACACACGTAGTCATCAAGTTGATAAGCTAGAGAGCCATAAGCTAGCGTGCAGTGCACTAGTAAGCTTTTGCTCCGACGATAGCAAGTTCTTTATTCTTGAATGGGATGGACCCATGTCTAAAAAGATCCCCGGATCGTAAAAAAAAGATTAAAGAAGCGTTCTAAACTTTGATAGGTATAGCAAATGGTTCACTTCACTCTCTGTAAGAGGTATAGGCCTAGGTGACCAACGACATCACTCCTTCGTGCAAAAGAGGGATCATACCTCACAAAGTCACCCATTATGCGAATGAATAGCCGTGGTTGCATACGAAAACGCCTTCTGAATATGCGGGCATCGTATGTTGGATTTGTATTGAAGTAATCCTGCATAAGACGGTCATGACCTGAGACCCTTTCATGATCAATGTAGGTGCGACTTGTTGAACGACGATGTGACGATGAAGCGTCCTCAAGCCTCCGCTTGATTAAAGCCAAATGGTGATAGTGAAACAGATTCAACTCTTCCATCTCTTCTTCTCCTCCAGACGATGAGTAATCTGAGGAACTCATGATGGATATGTTTGTTTTAGAAATGGGATGAAGTTTCAGACAAGTATTGAATTGATGGCAAATGGGGGATTTGTATTTATGTCCGAACGGTCAGATCCAAACTTTTCTTACCTAACGGTCATATCCGAACATGTGCTACCTACCAATGACATGTTGGAAATAAAATTAATTTATTTCCTTATGTATTTGGTGGGCACGTGTAATTACAAAAGAACTTGTTTTGTTTTATATGGTGGGATTTTATGGTTTTGAGAGAGCTCGTATAGAGCTTATATGGAAGAGGGATTTTATTTGAAGGAATGGGTTTGGTAGAGGCTATTTGAGAGAAGTGGGCAGAGGGATACAACTCTTTCTTTATTGTTTCTTCTTTTTTATTTGGCGCTGCTTCAACTCGGCTACAACTTAGCCTATTTATAGGCTTTACATCATCAAAATATCAAGGCTAAACCGACTCAACTTGTGGCCTTTATTTTTCTTTATTTTTTATGCCACAACTAACATCTAACTCCATTTAATTAAGTAAGCTTCCACACAATTTCCCACTTACCCATGGTTCTCGCTAATTCCACCGAGTTCTGATTTTTTCCAATTTTTATCTTTTAATTAAACTTTATTAATTTCAACACTCCCCCTGAAAGTGTAATTCGTCCTAACTCCGTATAACACCCTCCTTTTGACGAACACATCTTGCTTCAGCGGCTTCCTGAATATATCAGCAATCTGGTCTTCAGTCTTCACATACTTCAACATCTCTTCTTTGTGCTCGACACATTCTCGTAAGAAATGATATCTTGTATCAATATGCTTACTACGATCCTGAAATACCGGATTCTTTGCTAACGCCAGGGGCAGACTTGTTATCCACAAATATTTCAGTTAACTCTTCTTGTCCCATGTTCAATTCCTTCAGCAACTTTCTTAACCATATCGCATGACACGTACACGATGTAGCCACATACTCAGCTTCACAAGTAGATAGAGTCACGATAGCTTGCTTCTTTGAACTCCATGTGAAAGCTGTATCTCCCAGAAAAAATACGAATCATGCAATGTGATATGATCCTAATTCGAGAATCCTCCCAAATTCATACCAAAAACCAGAATTGCACAACGTCGAACTCTTTTGGGATTTTCTTCTTTCTTCAATAACACGAAAATAAAGGATAGTCGCGGAAATCGATCAAACAGATCCGAACTCGTGAGAAGGGCCAATTGGTATATGAAACCAATCAAACAATCTCGAACCCGTGGATAAGGCCAATCGATATAGTCGATGCTCGCCACAACTAGACGCGTTCTCGAGTTGATAAGAGACCACTCAATTCTCCCGAATCCTCAAAGGAGAGATTAAGCAAAAACGTTCACAAAGGAACTCGAGTAAACACTCAATGTATTTGATAACTGAAATCTTGGGTCCCAGCCATGCAATTAATCCCCACGTGGCCAGCTCCAAGATATTGGGTGAGTTTATCCATCAAGAACGATCCCAATTGATCCTTATATCGTACAATCTGAATCTTCATTTTTGGTCCACGGGAATTAAATATCGTGCTTGTCGATATCGCATCATTCCCTCTCTCTTGAACAAGATTCGACCTCGAATCTTTATAGAATCTCGATCTCTGACCAGCCCTTGTCTTCTTGGTCTTGGAACTAAATTGTCTTGGTAGCGATAATTGTATCATTCTCCCCTTCTTAAAAACAATTCGTCCACGAATTGTTGAGACACCATAATGATGAAAACCTTCCATGTAACTCTGAACTTCTCGTCGATTCTCTATCCGGGCTTCCTCTTCAGAAATAGTATCTCCAATCACAAAATCAATACGAGCAACTTCTGGAACAATTGGAAAATGCTCCATGACTTTCATGACTTCATCTTCTCCATGAAATTCTGATTCCTTAGGTGCACTCAAATCTGGAACACTAACAAAAATATCTTCTATCGCTTCTTCTTCATCGAAATCTTCATACTCTTCACAAGAAGTATCCAAAAGTGGACCTTCCATAGGCGAGATTTCAATATACTCCTCGTCTTGATGTTGTATTTTCGTTTGGCTCTGATTATCTTCTACCTGATATGCTTGAATCTCGATGCCAAAGACTTGTGGACTTGTCTCTTGTGTCGCTATGGTAACCTCAAAAGATTGCTCTTGTTCTGCATTTGGATTCCCTATATGCAACGGAGCTTCTGGTTGGATTACTACCGCTGGCGCACTAATTCCCCATGAAACCGCCAATAGAGAAAGGCTCGCATTTATTTGTGCTTGCCCTTGACGATAAGCTTCTATTTGCATGCTGATTTGTCGTAATGTTGCCGCAATGTCTTGATTCGCTTGATTCTTCGCCATGGTTTCTTGCTAAAGAAGAACCCTACGAATGCTTTGTCTTCAAGATACCTTCCTTGCCACACAAGAAACTCTCAAGAGCGTTCAAGATTTGCTTTCTTGACTTTCAAGATTTCCAAGAATGCTTCCCGAACTGCAAAGAATCTTTGTCTTCTCCGCTGCGTTTGAACCGGGCTCTTGATACCACTTGATATGATCCTAATTCGAGAATCCTCCCAAATTCAGACCAAAAACCAGAATTGCACAACGTCGAACTCTTTTGGGATTTTCTTCTTTCTTCAATAACACGAAAATAAAGGATAGTCGCGGAAATCGATCAAACAGATCCGAACTCGTGAGAAGGGCCAATTGGTATATGAAACCAATCAAACAATCTCGAACCCGTGGATAAGGCCAATCGATATAGTCGATGCTCGCCACAACTAGACGCGTTCTCGAGTTGATAAGAGACCACTCAATTCTCCGGAATCCTCAAAGGAGAGATTAAGCAAAAACGTTCACAAAGGAACTCGAGTAAACACTCAATGTATTTGATAACTGAAATCTTGGGTCCCAGCCATGCAATTAATCCCCACGTGGCCAGCTCCAAGATATTGGGTGAGTTTATCCATCAAGAACGATCCCAATTGATCCTTATATCGTACAATCTGAATCTTCATTTTTGGTCCACGGGAATTAAATATCGTGCTTGATATGATCCTAATTCGAGAATCCTCCCAAATTCAGACCAAAAACCAGAATTGCACAACGTCGAACTCTTTTGGGATTTTCTTCTTTCTTCAATAACACGAAAATAAAGGATAGTTGCGGGAATCGATCAAACAGATCCGAACTCATGAGAAGGGCCAGAAGGTATATGAAACCTTCCAAACAATCTCGAACCCGTGGAAGAGGCCAATCGATATAGTCGATGCTCGCCACAACTAGACGCGTTCTCGAGTTGATAAGAGACCACTCAATTCTCCTGAATCCTCAAAGGAGAGATTAAGCAAAAACGTTCACAAAGGAACTCGAGTAAACACTCAATGTATTTGATAACTGAAATCTTGGGTCCCAGCCATGCAATTAATCCCCACGTGGCCAGCTCCAAGATATTGGGTGAGTTTATCCATCAAGAACGATCCCAATTGATCCTTATATCGTACAATATGAATCTTCATTTTTGGTCCACGGGAATTAAATATCGTGCTTGTCGATATCGCATCACAATGCTCTTGCGATCATCCACGTCTCCTGCCCAATCACTATTACAGTATCGAACCAATTTGAAATTTTCTGACTTAGTATAAAGCAGACCATGATCGATTGTACCTTTAATGTAGCGTAAGATTCTCTTGGCGGCATTTAAGTGTGACATTTTCGGTGCCTCCATGTATCTGCTGACTAATCCAACTACATAGAGAATATCTGGTCTGGTACAAGTCAGGTATCTCAGACTTCCCATAAGGCTTTTAAACTCCGTTGAGTTTACCTTCTCTCCTTTGTCATCCTTGGATAACTTCATTCCACCCTCGGCTGGTGTACTCACAGGATTACAATTCTCCATCTTAAATTTCTTCAGGACCTTCTTGGCAAAACCACTTTGTGAGATAAAAATTCCTTCCTCTTTTTGACTCACTTCACTTCCGAGATAGTATGACATCAACCTGATGTCTATCACCTCAAATTCTCGAAACATAGTCTTCACTACAAGAATTGTCCTATATAGCCACAAATTCATAGCTATGAGAAAATACTTCGTAGCTAATACCAACTAATAGCTATGAAAAAAAATTTATGTAGCTTTTAAAAGTTCTATTGTCACAAGTGTTATAACCCGTAGCTATTTTCATAATGTTGTTTCGAAGTTTATTTATTGTGGCAATTTATATATCTTCAGCCATGAACTTTTTGCTACATCAAACATTTATAGCTAGTCATGCGTGTATTTATCTAAGAAGGGTATATATTTGTGGCAAAATGATTACTTCTGCAATGAAAAATAACTTTATAGCAATATACAATCATTTGCTGTAATTTTAGATTCGTGTATCTATTAAGTTTGCAAAAATTGTTACAAAGTATTCACTTGCTAACAAAAATCAATGATTCAGTCATGATTGATAAAAATTCATGGCTAAAACTAACTTTTTATATATAAAAGGCCATAATTTTAATGGGACAAAAATTAAGAAAATGCGAGTTTTATGGTCAGCGGGCAAACTAACCTAACCCTAACTCCCAAAAATTTTCTCCGCCTCCATCAACCTTCAACAATCTCTCTTCGTCCCCTGCTCGCTTATCCAAGCTTCCCCATCTCCGATTGTCCTTTGGTTTCCTTCCTTCAATCTCTATTGCTGTTGCCGCTGATCCTTAATTCGTTAATGCAAAAGCAGTATCACCAGATCGAATCTGTCTCGATGGTGCATATCATTGCTTCTTCTCGCTTCATTGTACGTCCTTAAAGCTTTTATTATGGATTTATTCTTTTCA